GAGGATGTCTTCTTCTGAGCCGGCCTTGATTTGAGGACATAGAATGTGGCTTCCTTGGCCTTCTCGGTTATCTAAAAATATGCTATTGAGGAGGAAAGACAATCAGACTCACAACCAGCCTAGTTTCTCCACAGGTTATGAAAAATGAGGGCATATTCACACTGGAAGCCAAGAACAAGTCCCCTATTCCCCCCAGCAATGCTATGTTTGCTGTGGATGGGAGGTAATGGTGGCTCACTTGCCTGTGAGAATCAGTGTTCCTGCTGTAACAGCTCTTTCTGCAGGAGGCTCTCTTCCTGGGCTGCGACTGGTTCCAACTCACACTGGAGATTTCCTGACCTAGAGCAGGAAAGCAGTTACAGAACAGGCCTGGTGTGGACTTGCCCTGTCAGCTATTCAGTCTGAACCAGCCATGTTCAGCTGGACACCCAGCATGATATTTCAGCTGAGGGCATTCCCTGATTTCCCCAAGGGAGAAGGGTCAGAATGTACCTGGGCCTGAATATTTTTTCAGCTTTTTAAAATCTGCTAGATAATGAAGTGCTAACTACACTGTGCTGAGCATGAAAACACAGTCCATATCTCCAGTTGTCTAGATACATTATGTTAGAAAGAAAATATAAGAGTAGCAAAGTATGAGTATAGTTCAGGCTAGACATGAATGACCTTGATTAGACAATAGGAGAATGTGAGCACCCTCAGAAACTTAATGTAGAATTTTTAGGGAGCCTATAAAATGAAAGCACTTAAGTTTATAATTATTTTTACAACAAAGAAATGAGTCAGGGTTCAACTCCCAACCCATATCTGTTCTTGTAACAAAAAAATCCTTTCACAGGAAAGGGATGCATACTGTAAGAGAGCCTGTAGTCAGCAGGAGTGAGCTGCATGCAGATCTGCCCAAAGGTAGAAAACTATCTCTAAAGGTGATGTTATAGGAGGAAAATAAATTGACAGGAACACACACTGTCCTCTACATCTAACACTCCTTAGACAGGTTCAGGATGAGAATAGTGAGAGTTTTGGGGACACACAGGGGACAAAGTTCTGAGAAGATACCAGAGAGATCAGAAGAAAATAGGGGGTAAACTATCCCCAGAAACTTTAAGGCTCAAACACAGTATTTCTTGGAGAAGTTCCTGTAGACTGGGCCAGCACAATACCCTAAGGTGTTCTTCCCTCTCTGGGGTTGAGAGCCAAGCAGATAGATGGCAGAGATCCAGGTTTAGGTGACCTACATGGTTCTAAGGACTCCTTCTGACTTGGGCTCTGACATCTTCTCTAAGACACTGAAAGGATGCTCCATCTTTTCTGCCAAATCCCTGTGCTGGGTGATCAACTGTTTCTGCTTCATCAGGTTCTTTGGTCTTTCATCCAGGCTTTCTTCTTCCTGTTCATTAGAAGTTTTTGTTCTCAGTGGAGGGTTGCTCCTCCATAAGCATACACATAAACTCATGAGCACACACAAGAACATCTAGGCACACATACAAGCACACTGTAATGCAGTAACATGTTTGGTTTACCAGTTAATGCTGATGTAAGGAGCAATTATCAGGTATACTATTGAGAAGAAGGTAAACTTTTGTTGGATGACACAGTGGGCATGAGAGATAGACAGTGCAGTCATTGAAATGTCTAGCCGGTAAACCTAATGCACAGACAGGTGGACATCTGGGTTCCTGACCTGTTAGCCAACCCTGCTTAGGATGTTCCCAGAATGTGCAGTGTAGGGAGGTTCCCCATCACAAGAGCACTGGATGGTGGTGGATCAGGCCACTCATCTTATTCACTGCATTCCACTTTCCACCAAGGTGAGCAACTTCCTCCAAGAGGAGCAGCTTTCAGCACAGACTGCCTCACTTCAGGTCCAAAAAAAATGACCTAAGCATTCTAGAAAATCTCTACAACCAGGAGTGAAAAATAACATTTTTCCCTGTAAGGTGATTGATGAGAGATGTCATTCTATAAATCTGTCTGTTATTCTTTGTTGAATAGAGCACTGTTGGCCAATAGGTAAGCAAGACAAGATAGCTGGGAATAGGAGTGCAAGAGGATTCTGGAAAAGAGAGGCAGAGATGTACGCCACCAGAGTAAGAGGTCTGGACCCATTTCTCTGCTAAAAAATACTTAGAATGTCAATTATGGGTTAAATACTTAAGTCAGTGCTAGCCAGTAGAAACAAGCAAACGGCCAACAGCTTCATAATTAATATAGTGTCTTGTGTGTTACTTGGGGACTGAAATTGTATGAGGGCCCAGGCAGATGCAGAAGGCAACACATTACATAATGGTACCAGAAGTGGATAACAGAACCCAGGCAGGAATCCCACAACAGGTGATTGTGTCAGGGATTTGTGTGAGGTTGACTAAATCAGAGACAAACAATTGCATGTCACCTGCAGTACTTTTCTGGAATGCGGCACTTTGCACAATCATGAGAGGGAATCTGTTTTAAGACACAACCACAACCATGACACAGTCAGTACCACAATGTCTGCAAGGAGATGCACTATGAGATTCCGTGTTGTGAAGCCAATGAGATCAAACCGGACACTTCCTGTGCTGTTAGGTCTGTGCAGTGAAAGAACATAAGTCTATTCCTTTTTTAATTGCTGTATTGTTTGATTTTTGTTATCTATTATAAAATACATTAATTACAAAACAATAAATATGAGTAAAATGAAGACACAGGTACTACATCTTTCCTCTATCTTTTCTGTTGAAACTTAGAACAGTTAGAGGACAGAAAACAAGAGAGATGATCCAACTTGTAGGGCACAAGAGATCCAAAGATTACTGTAAAGCCAGATTAACCAAAATAGCAGATTTCAGGTTCCCTGAGAGACCTGGGCTCAAGGGAATAAGGGAAAGAGGAGCACAGCATCATAGGTCATTATCTGGCCTGGAAAAACAACACACACACACATTGCACACATCTACACATGCATGCAAACATCACACCAAGACTACATAAACAATAATGGAGCAGAAAGAAATGAGGAGGTCATCATGCTTAATGAACAACTGAATTTAGCCTATGCACATCAGGTGTTTCAATGAGACCCACAGCACCGCCATCCATCCCTAGGGGAGTAGTAATTCCCGGGGGAGCACATAGCTTCGGCAAACTATTGTGAAATGATTGGAGACAGTGTTCTCTTGAAGCCTCAAATCTGTCACCCCAACATTCAGCCAGTCAAATTTTCCCACCTTTATGGTCATCCAGTTAGCTCCAGACTGGAAGCTCCAGGAAGTGAGAAATATCCAGCACCACCCACAGAAAACAGGGTGGAAAAGATGGTACTCTGACCTCTGTCAGTGTTAACCAAGAGTTGAGCAAAGGGAAGAGAACACATTGGGATGTAGGAAAAAGAAGTAGATTACACCCCAAAGTTGACAGTGAGAACCATTCATTTGGCATTGACACTAGGATCCAGTTCTTCCAAACTGCTTCCTACCTGTGATCTTAGGTAACAACTGCAAAGCAAATGAGGCACAGGCCCTGACCTTATCCATGAAGTCCCTGGGCTGTTCCCTACCTAGCTCCCTGCATAGAGACCCTGCTTATACAATGACAAGCGATATGTGACTGACTGTACTGAGAGTTCCATCAGAGCAGGAGAATTTCCTTGCCAATCAATTTCTTGCAAGAGTATATCTCTCCAGAGAGACTTGTGAATGATCACAGAAATGAACAATTGCATGGTATTTGGTAGATGTCAAATTGAGTAGGTGCATTGATTCATGAGAGACTCTTTTATGGTTGGATGGATGTGCTGTGTGCCCCACTGACTCAGCCTACCTTATGCTGCTCAGCACAGGGGTCACAGATCTTCTCCTGCACCTCCTTAAGGAGCTTCTTCACCTCCTCACAGGTCTCTTGCAGTGCAATCTGCTCCTCCAACAGCTTTTCATTCTCCAGTTTCAACGCATGGACATTGTTTTTCAACTGAGTCAAATCTGGTAGGCCAATTCTGTGGAGGAAACTGCACCAACATCCAAAAAATGGTAAGTCCCAAATAGGCTCCATTTGCCATCCCAAACTCCAAGTATCACCACCCCTTAAAATTCCGAGGTTCCGAGACAAAACTGACAGTAGTAAAGCCAGCATCACTCGGGAGAAGGTCAAATCAAGAAAACAACCAAATTCCAGAAAATTTAAAGTACTTCTGAAAACCCTGGCACCAAGAGCTTTACTGCATCCCTGAGAACAGGATGAAGCCCACATCTTTGTTTACCTGTTCATAGTATTCGGAAAGCATCACCAGATAGAGGCCTAATTCTCTCTTGGGGAGGGCAAAAATCCCAACTAGAATAAATTTTGTCTGTCGGTTACATGGTATCAACACTGTGAACCCCCTGTCAGAGCCTGAGAATCCCTGGGCATCCTGACACCCCCTTCATGGTGTAAAACATTTTTTATGTAGAGGCTCCTATGTAGGACATTTCTGGGAGGGACTCAGTGTCTTTTCACACTTAGTAAAAACAGTCCAAGAGGCACAGGTCCAAGGGCAACAAGGCGACAGATGCTATGAGGCAGACAGGCTAGAACCAGAGCCTCCACTTTGAGTCAAAGACAGAGAGAGCAGAATCAGCCATTCATAAACTTAATCTGACACTTACCTGTAGCATTTGTTGTTCTCCTCAATCAGCTGCTTGCACTTGTTCAAGTTATCACTGATCTCCAAGGGAAATCTCTGAAGGTCACACATTACCTGCTTATGCACCTTTTTCATCATCTCAAAAGATTTCAGCCTGGGATAGGGCATGGCCCCAGGAGAAAAGAATCCCATGAACCTCATGGATCATATGAAATCAGGCTGTCCTGGACTACCTCAGCCTAGTGGACTCCACAGTCTGGCACTGATTCACTGGGGCCTCCTAGTGCTTAATATATTTTCTATCCTCTCCCCAGGCTAGAAGAGGTAGGGTGTCTGAAGGGAATTATCGAGGCCCATATGGGCACCCTTGGTGTGCTTGTTCTATAGATTAGCTCTCTACGATGTTCCCTGGAATCTCTACCACATATCTTTGCTCAACAGAGGCATCTGATGACATTTCTCCTGTCTTTAGAAGAGGGATTCTCATTCCTGTGTGCCTATTGCTACACAGAGGAACAGAGCACACTATCAGTATTTCCAGGAAGGAGTCCCAAATTCAGGGTAGTTTTATAAACTCTACAGGGGATTGCAATGTTCCACCAATGTGAGCACAATGGCCAAGAGATATGCGGATCAAAGTGGCCACAACACATGCATTCCATGGAGACTGTGAGAATGGCAAAACCTTAGATCATGCAGAAAACACACACTTACACACACACACACACACACACACACACACACACACACACACATAGGCCTTCTACTCTGCTCCCACATACAATCAGGATGTCCATGAAATGGAGGGTGGTGTCACTTTCTTATAATATAAAGAAGAAACCAGAGTGTAGCAGTGATGAGCTTCAGGCCGTCCAGCCAGAAACTGAGATTAATGAATGTTACCAGCCCCATCCTGGTGCTGCCAGGAGCTTTTAGCACTCATTCGCCTTCTCATCAACCACAAAGGCTCACCTAGTGTGTCCCTCAAGCCAGCACCAGTCAAGGCCTCTCTCAATGAATGTTGAGTAAACACATTGCTGTCCTGATCCCCAGACTGTGATTCAAGTCACAGGTTCTGCTTTTCATTTGGAGGAACCAGAGGATCCTGTGCCCACATCTTGTGACTACCCAGGTTCCAAGTTCTGCCTCTCATGTGCACAGGAAAATTAGTTTATGCACCAGGCCACCCTGAATCGTTAGCCTCTTGAACTCAGGAAATCTTGACTTGACACTGTGGGGTCAGAGTACTGAGAGTAATGACTACCTGTTATAAAAATCTATCTTGGTATAGCTTTCCAGGATTGCACTCAGTTCAATTTGCTCATTTTTTATACTCTGTAGCTTAATGGTAAGTTCCTCCAGCTTCTCCATCTGCTTGTCCTGCTTTGTGTAAGTAGAGAGTTGGGATGGTGCCTCCTCAGTAGTCCCTGCAGGCAGATAAATACAAGTGAACTGGAATATTTGAATGGCATAGGGCCAGGAGTGTCTATGCTGAGTACCAAGAAGAAGCCCAAAGAAGAGTAAATGCTAGGGACCCAGTGAACTCCAAAGAGGACAGGGCAGCTATGCTCACACTGGTGTCCATGAGGTAAGTCTCTCACTTCAAACACCGTGACTAGTCATGTGCCTCATTCAGAGACTTAGTCCCCTGTTCCTGGAAGACAAAAAGCTAGTCCAGCTGTGTAGATTTGAAGAGTGTCATCTCTTTTCTAATATGATGCAGGTAAGTGCTGCTGTCCCTAGAGCTAGCAGCATCAAGTTCTCATCACATTTGTACAGAAAAAACTCACCTGAAGTATTGGTGCATGGCCAGGGGAGTTTCCCTCCCTCCTTATTAGCATCAATTCCCATGTAAACTGAAGGAATTCAATAGGATGAAGTGCAGCAACACCACAGCCTGAGAGAGATGCCTTATTAGTCACCCCTTTGCTTCTGCTGGCCTTCTTTCTCACTCAAAAGTCGGGTGAGGATTCCTTCCTTCTCTCTCAAAAGTAGAGTGAGGATCTCCCAGAAAAGCAGCTGCAGGTTTGACAGTTCATGTCTCTATCACACTAACTATCAGAAATATTTACTCTGGGCCTGCTCTGAGGAAAACCAGATAAAAGCAGGTTAAGCCCATTCCTTCCAAGATGCTAAGCCCCACAACTGTAAGGCCTAGCTCAAGCTCTACCTGCTCCAGGAAGCTACCCATCTCCTGACCACTATACTTTTCCCAGAACCATTTATTTCTTCATGTTTTACACTGAGACTGTCAGCTTCCTTCTGCCTCTCTGGACTTCCCATGTTCTCAATTATCTCCGCTCAGGCTTGCAAACATGTCTAAAGACACTTTAAGCATATCCCACAGTCACTTGGTGTTCTCTGAATACTGGTGATATCACAGGGAACACCAAGTGCTCTCCACAATACAATAGAATTGTCCAGAGAAGGGACAGTTAGTGTCACCAGAACTCCTCACCTACCTAATAACTAGATTCTGCAATTCACTGGAAGTCATACTGCCCTACCCAGGAACTTCCATAGATACACAATGGAAGACCTTCACTATGTCCTCATTATAAAGCCAGAGGCCTCTCTCTGTGCTTCATAAGAATATATTCACAACTTCATATATGCAAGTTGAAGACTCACTTCCAAAAACATCCCAGGATATGTTTCAGCCCCTGGTAGAGATCTCTAATCAATAACAAGAGAAATAAATATTTCTAGGTAAATAATTTGGGAATGTGGACAGGAGATTTCAGTCCCCTAAAGATGACAAGCACAATGCAGAGAATCCACATGGCTGGTACAATATATTGTTGTGGCGGGGACTGTAGTTGTCCTGTGAGAACAAGATAAATTCCATAATTGATGACAATTACCCCCAAAGTTAAGCAGAACACATTCCAACCCTCATAAGTTATCAAATATGTGACCAACTTGTGACAGGTCAGGCTAGAGACACTAATCACTGGGGCTCCCAGGTGAGCCCAAAACACAAGAGCTAAAACTCCCATGGAGATTGATGTCCATTCCTGCACTCAAATTTGAGGAAAGGTGATTGGCTATTGAGAGTCCATAGAGAGATATGCAAAGGCATTTTCAGAAAATTGAATTTGTTATAGTCATGGGGAACATATGCAGTGTGTCATTGCCATATTTCTTTACCTAGAGCTTCACAAAAGACAAACTCCTTGATCAGGAATCACCTGGTACAATGTCCATGTCCTCAGGAATTGGGACACAGCCAGCTTAAATTAAAATATTCACTGGAGCATGAGGAGGTTAGGATAAACGCACAAAAGGAGAGCCTTGGTGCTAGACCTTTTGCAGAGCCCAAATTTACACTTTTGAATTTCCTGGCAGTGCTGAAATGAAGGGTTAGCACCATGCTCTGCCTGGATAGAAAAGTCTCCAGAGGTCAGGCTAGGGCTTGCAACATGTGCTTGATGAACCACAAAGCAAATGAGTAATGTTGGGTAAAATAAATCCATTCCTATATTACATCATACTGACAACCATGTTAGACAAGGTTAGGTATCTCAGTAATACCAAATTCTAGAAGTCAAATGACAGCACCTTCCCTACGCACTACCTCAACTCAGGCCAATCTGACACAATGAAGGATGCTCAGGAAGTGACTGATAGATGACACTGTACCCTAGCAGGTTCTGAAAGACCAGAATTGTGTCTTCACCTCTGTGGATGCCAGTTATTTCTATAGGGAGGGGGTGTCTCAACAGTTACCTGCTTTCTTCTGTATCCCTGCACCAGGTGACCCAGGGGACAGACTCCTAAATCTTATTCACAGCCACAGAGAATGTACCTTGGGTTTAGAGCCTTCAGTCATGTGCTTTAAGAAGCCTGGAGCTAATTGCTACGGTCACATTCACTCAGGTAGGATAGGGATGACCTCATAAATTACTTGATGCTTCAGACTCTCATGTTAATGGAGAAGCTACACAGTGGCAGAACATAGTCCCCTGACTCAGAACCCATCCTTACTAATAGCCCAGGATACCCAGAGCTTGAAGTAAGGGGCAGTCTCTTGTTCATGGGCTCTAATAGCTCTCAGCTGAACTGGAGACCTTTGTGCCACCATACCTGGAAAGATGGAAACCTTAGGGGCCACTGGAAGACAGCTACACTTTGTAGCTGAGCCCTGCTAGTGGCAGTGATGTAAAGCATAACAAACTCAAACTTTGCCAAGGCTCATTTCTTTCCCTTTAATCATTGTCAGTCAACCTATCGGGCTCCAGTGGAGGCAAAGTACAGCGAAGGTATTGAAATCTCATTGACTCCCCTGTGCCTCATTCTCCCCTCACCATGAAAACAGTGGGTCCCCAGCACAAACACTAGAGTCTTGTCAATTCCTGACTGTCTAAACAATTTTCATGAATCCTTGATGTGGGTGAATCCTTTAGGAAACCAGAGAAGCAGGATAGGTCTGTTGCTTCCCAGAAGCTCCCAGTTCCTGAGCCTTATCCCTGGAAGGCTCAAGGCTGTCACACACAGAGTGCCCCCAGTCCCTTCCTTGAACTCACGGTGTCTTCCCCAGAACCATGTTTTCCAGTGAGACCTAGGGCCTGCTTCCTTCTTCCTCACTCTGGTCTCTCCATGTTGTCCATTCCTCCTCCCAAATATACTTCGCAGTCTTGAAAACATTTCTATAAGTGACCTTACAGGCAATGAACAACTGTCCTAAGGACAGCCAGTGTTGCTACAACACAAGTGACATCATGGGATTCCAAGAGATCTCCAGGACACAATAGAATTTCCAGATGGGACTGCTGATGTCACAGGGCACAGCCTTTCACTCCTTGCTCATTCATTCTCCCTGAACAGACCAAAGCTGGGGTTTCCTTTCCAGGAGTCTCTCCTGTGACACAGGGGTGGCCTTTCAGCACCTCCTTCTTCCAAAGTTAGAGATTTCTCTTTTCTTTTTCAGAATGTTTTCAGTACTTCAGCCATGCAGAGTTGAACCCTAATTTTGCAAGCACTGCCTAAGAATAGTCCTTAATACCCATACACAGAAATATGAGAGAAAATGCATGCCAAGAAATTCGGTGATGAAATGGAGGAGGAGAAAGCAACAGAAGAAGTCTAAGTTTAAGGAAAGTTGGCAATTGGACATTTGTAAGTGAGCTGAGTCTATTATGAGACACTCACTACTCTAGACTGTTCTCCCTACAAGGCTGATAGGTTAGTCAGGGATGTCTAGATTTACAGAAGTTATAAAATGAATTTCTCTTTAGGAAGGGGATTTGTTTTTAAACTTTTTATTACTTTAATTTTAAATAGCTTGCTTCACATGTCAAACCCAGTTCCCTCTCCCGCCCATCCTCCCATACTCCCCCACAATCTCCCCTCTCCTTAGTTGTAGTTCTTTGTCCAGAGAGTAGCCATAATGAGCAACACTATACGTGATGCATATCAAAGGGATACAAATAGGAAAAATATATCAAATTATTATCAAGTGATGTCATAGTACATATAAGACATCCCAAAAATTCTACCAGATATTTTCTTCAAATTATCAATGAGTTCAACAACATGGAGGATAGGAAATCTGCTTTCAACCATCAGGAGCCTCTGTATGCAGCACCAACAAAAACGCTGAGAAAGATCATCCACAAATGCCCATCGCCCAGAGTATACAGAAACCAATCATGTAGAAAGACTCCATAACTGTGAGATGCACTGGTTTGTTGATGAATAAATCTTCAGTAGGTATTTCAGGGCCAGGAGTTTCCTAAGAGCTTCAAATTTTTTGCCAAGTGTTGTCAAAAGAAAGAACTTTCAGTGCATGATATGGGAGGGACAGGTTTAGTTTCTAGAGCAATCTAGGCCCCATTTTTGGCAACAGTTGTGGCTGATCTCTGAGAGGTGTGGCTGAGAGTTAGAGGAGTATAGACAGAAGGGAATGCAAAAGTAAACTTCATGAGATGTCAACTTCTTGTTCCCAGAAGACACCTTGAGTTGAACTGGTGGGAAGGCAAGGGGTCGGGTACCTGAACAGGACTCACAGTGGAGAGAAGACACATAAGCCTAATAAAGCTCCATAGCCAATGACCAATTAGCTGATTAGCCTTGAGTACCAGCCCATTCCAGTGAATAAAGCTTATGCTTTTGCTTTTACCACAGCTCTATCTTGTCTTTCTAGGATGTTGTCTTCTCTGTTTGTCTCAGGAATGGAACATAATGCTCCCTAGGTGATCACTGGCTTCCTTGCCATGGATGTTTGTTACTGGTGTATGGAGAATTGCAAGCACTTTTATTGTCACCTTGCTGAGGATCCATCTTAGCCCCAAAATAATGGCTATCATAAAGAAAACAAAAGGCAGTGATGTTTGTAGACATGGTGAGAAGTGAACTCTTGGAGGTAGTTGATCAGAATATAAATTTGTGAAACCATTACATAAATCAGTATAGAGTTTCATTGCTGATAATCCCCTAAAAATACAAATTCCACATAACCCAGCCTTACCACACCTAGCTGTGCATCTTAAGGAATCAAACTCAGTTCACAATAAGGATATGTGCACATCATGCTGTTTTGGTACTGTTCACATTAACCAAATATGGAATTATCTCAGCTGTCCACAAATGATTGAAAAAGATGGAAATGGGAAGTGAATTGTGTATTAAAATGTTACAATAAGCACAGTATTTTTTATAGTTAGTACAAGTAATAAAAAAGAGCCTGGGGAGATGGCTCAATCACCAGCATGAAGAACTGTGTCTGGCTACCCAGAACACAATACTATCCAGAACTGTACCCACTTGTGTAGCCCTAGTACTGTTGAGGACCTAACCAGTGCAGTCCGTGGAGTCCATTGATAAGCCAGGCTATAATGCTGAGCTCTAGGTTCAGAGAGACCCAGAGGCTGTGTTTGTGTCTGTGTACGAGAGAGGGTCAGCAGGGAAGAATAGTAGCGTTTTTTTATGCAGCAGGGACATTCAGGACAGTTGTTTTCTAATTGGGGGATCAGGGTTGTTTTTAATGTGCCTTAAATAATAAAACAAGGTGAAGAGTAATCAAAGAAAACAACTGATGTTGACCTCTAACCTATCCACAAATACACATATAAACACTGAGGAGTTCACATACCCCTGCACACAAACACCAACACAAACACAGCATAACATGTACAAAAAGAAATGAATTAATAAATAGACAGATACATGAATAAAACATAGCTAGGCTGTGAGCTAGAGCCATGTTTGTTAAGACACATTTAAAGCTATTTTATTTTAAACAGATCTTTTTAATTACAGAAAACTTAATATTGATGATGAAGGAACAGTGGAGGGCTGTATGAGCTGACACAGAAAATAGATAAATAACATAAACCATTAATTGATTGTTACAGAAAAGTGACTAGTGAAATAACTTTTATTTGCTGAAAATAAGTTGCCATTTTCTGAAAAATGTTCGCATAAACATACTCATACATAAATGTGAACAAATTCTTAAACTTTTATCTGACTATACTATTGCTTGTTTTAATAGTTTACCTAAGAAGAGTCTTTGATTAAGTTATTTCTTTGGAACTAATGTGAATCCACGTGGTGGTAGTATCTTCATAGAGATCCAGATGCTGTTTCTCCCATGGTCTTTTGCATCTGTGTCTGGGGGTGGTTAGTGAGAGAAGGAGGAGAGCTTTGGATGTGGCAGTGAAAACTAGGACCTTCTTTCTAATTGGATAAATAGTTTTCTCTTTTATCCAGTTTACAGCAGAAGAATTTGAACTCCCTAATTCCAGTCCTTTTGTTATGCTTGAATTGTGAATATTCAGTGAAAACAATAATGCATCCCTTAAGAGTTTTGATAGTGGTGCTCTGGCTTCAAGTGAGGGGTGAGTTTGACCATTTCTATGGGAACATGAAAATACATTAAGTGAGGGTGTTGCATTCACATGTTATAGGATGAAGGGGAGAAATACCAATGTTCTCATGCTGCAACAAAAGCAGCTGGGAGGCCCATGGAAAAGCCCTTCTGGGCTGTTAGCATCCATATGCATCCAGTCCTGTTTGTCTGACCTCTGTCTTTCTGCACAGGTGTGAGCAGTCAGCAGAAGGTGCAGCAGAACTCAGAATCCTTCAGTGTCCCTGAGGGTGCCATGGCCTCTCTCACCAGCACTTTCAGCGATCATAATACTGATTACTTCTGGTGGTACAGACAGTATCCTGGGAAAAGCCCCAAGGCTCTGATGACCATCATCTCCAATGGTGAAAAGGAAGAAGGAAGATTCACAATTCACCTCAATAAAGTGAGCCTGCATGTTTCCCTGTACATCAGAGACTCCCAGCCCAGTGACTCAGCTGTCTACCTGTGTGCAGTGAGCACACAGTGTTCTCCAGGCACCTGCAGCCTGCACCTAAACCCACTGGGACCCAGGAAGGTCTTAGATAGAGCACATACCACAGTCTGTTGAAACTCTGTTTCTTTTCTATGTTAAATGGGAAATAAGAGCAAGAGTAGAGAGGGTTTGATTGATTAGGAAAGTAATTGACATTTGGAAAATGGCCAGTCCTAAAGAGAAAGGCACACAATTGGTTTAGATGGAATATTTTCCACTCTTCTCTCACATTGAAGGTTGTACAACAATGTACACACACTTTATGTGCCAATCTGGGTGAGCTGGACTAAATGCACGTGACTATGATAATCTCCATATGCCATATCATAAATACCACCATCACCTCTACAGCACTCTGGCTTGCTTGCTTTTTAAAATCTTTCAATTAAAAGAGTATTTGTTTTCGAATTTTGAAAAACATGTTTATCAACTAGCTGGTTTCTGTAGAACAATTTCATACATATTTACTTTTGGTTGACCCTTCCCCATGTTAATCCCCTCTGCCATCTCCTTATTTCCCATTCTTAAGGAAACCACTTTTCTCCCAGAATCCCCCTTCCACTTCCAGGTCATGTACTTAGTTCCCTTCCACTCATCCTTCTTAATCCGGCCTTTCCCTCTTGTGGGCAGCTGTCTAACTTCCTGACATCTACACACACTTGTAGTTCATGATGTATACAGATAAAATTCACAAGTTAAAGATTTGCATGTGTTTGTCTCTGAGGCTGGGATAACTCACTAAAGTATTTTCCAACTTCATTTTTATGCAAATTCTATCATTTTATTTTTCTTTATTGATGAATAATCTTCATATATGTTTATATATTGTTGACTTTCTAAATAGCACGTGCAGATCTTTTCTTTTGGACATGGATTCTGAGGACCTGAAATAATTGGGCAGACTGCAGTCTAATGCTATAGACAAACTTATATAAGTTTGAGTGTACTTTTATACACAGATGTAACAAAGAAACCAATGATCCAAAGAAGGTTGTTTGTGTTGAGCAAAATATGATCAATAAAACATGTGAATAAATGCCAATAAGCATATATTAAATGGCAACATAGCAGCCCTTTCCTAGAACTTTCTGTGGATAGACGAATTTAAACACAATTTCCTGGCACATACTATATATTATATGTAGTACATATTGAAAGCAAGGCAGAAGGTATATCCATACTGAGGGTATACTGAAGAGTGTGTTCTATAGCTATGATCTGACATCTCTGTTATAGCTATAAGACTTAAGTATGTCTTATAAATTGAATGCAAATGTTTCATATAGGAGGCAGGAAATCCTGTCCAAGAACAGTCCAGTGAACAAAATGCACCTGTTGTTAAAAAGTCCTCTGCCTTTTCGCCTGCAGCCCCTCACAGTTCCCCTCGGCACTGTTCACCATGCATCATTCGAGTGTTACAAATATATAATATAAAATCTCCACCAAAATCTCATCATTCATTCTTTTATTAATGAATATCAATGCTGACTTAATTTCCTAGAAATTGTGAATAGAGAAGCAATAAACATGGTTGAACAATTGTTTTTGAGGCAGGATACAGAGTGCCTCAGATATGTATCCAGGAATTACATAGCTGGACCCTACAACGTTTCCTCTTTTACATTTCTGAGAATTCTTCACACTGATTTCCATAGTTGTTACATCAGTTTATGCTTCACACAGGGTGAATGAAGTCTCCCTATTTCCCAACATCTTCACCAGAATTTGCTGTAATTTAATTACTTGATGATGGATATTTTTAACGGGTGAGATGAAGTATCAAATTAGTTTAACTTCCATTTCACTGAGGAATAAGAATGTTCAATGTTTTACTTACTAGCCATTTGTATCTCTTCTATAGCTCTATAGTTCTATAGCTCATTTCTGGTTGATTTGTTGTTTAATGGTTCAATCTTCTGTCAGATATAAAGCTCACAAGATTTTCTCTCATTTGTACATTGTCTCTTTGCTCAGTTAACTGTCTCGTTTGTTGCCTTCCTCTATTTTCAATAATTTATTTTTGAGACAGGATTTTATTTTGAAGGCTTGGGTGGCCTAAAATTCATGATCTTCCTGTTTCACCATCCCAAGTTCTGGGATAACAGGCTTGTGCCAACAGAAGTATCTCCATTTATCACTTATTAAGTTGAGTGCTGAAAAGGTCCCCTGACTTAGCATATTTACCCTGGTGCTCACTGAAGCTTCCCCCAAGTTCACTCAATGGTTCTGATTTTATCATGCATCAGTACAGAGAAATATTTTCATACATTAAGAGATCTCCCTTAGATTGTGTAATAACTTCTTTTTTCTTAATCTCTCAAGATATTTGGTGTTATATCTGGAACACACTGACAAAACAGACCTACAAACGGGAGAAAGGAGTCATCAAATGTATATTGAGAAAGTCATTAGTTAGAACCTGTTTTAGTTATAGCTCTCACTGTATTGCTCTGCTGAGCTTCAACCACTCCAAGATTAGATACCTGTGATGGCTAAAAGAAGTATCAGTGTTCAGAGTGTGAGAGCTGGCTGAAATAATAAGAGAATAATACCATCTATGTCTTTCTGAGTCTAAGATACACCAATCAGGTATGTATTTTTCTTGTTCCATCCATATTCCTAAAAATCTCATGGTGTCAATTATTAAAAGGATGAATAATACTCCAATGTATAAATGTGCCACATTTGCTTTATCTATTCTGTGTTGCTTCCAGTTTCTGACTCTTTTGAATACAGCAGCAAAGAACATGGTTGAGCAAGTGTCTCTATAGTAAGATGGAATATTCTTCTGCTATGTACCCAAGAGTGGTATAGCTGGCTCTTATTAAGATTGATTCCTATCTTCCTGAGGAATTGGCACACTGATTCCATGGCTCTCTTATTAGGAGGATGTGTTATCTGTCTCCATCAATTACTTTTCCATTCCGTGCATAGCTCTGCCCATTTTCTTGCTTTGGATGTGGATTCCGAGTATCTGGTCCATTTTAACAGTAGCTCCACTGATGCTGAGGGCCATGTCAATCCAGAGACACAGATAGTAAACTGAAGGGATAGATCAGAGCTTTCTCTATGCCTTGATTGTCAAAATTCCAAGTTTATAGTAAAAAAATAAGCTTATTGTCACAAGAGAGGACTGAGTTTAGACAACAAACATAAAGGCCAAAAGACTGTAATGACAGGCTTCATACGATGAAAGGAAAAAAATCTATCAACCAAGATTACTGTATCTAGAAAATAATCCTTGAAAACTGAAGACATAAAGATGTATCCCAAATGTACTAAAACTGTCTATGATATCCACATCAGCATTACAGGAACTTTTAAAGGAATATTGCACACAGGTGAGGGTGCTAGAATAATGAGATCCCTGGAAATAATAGACACATCACCTAACAATAAACCATTATCTCGGTGAAATAATAAGCTCCTAATATGAGCAAAGGATGAAGAACAAAAGTAACGGAAATAACCACAGAAGAAAAGAATGAGGAGTGGGAACCACCCTATCATCCTGCAGCTGCACAGTGGGTAGTTGTGCTAAAACCTGGAATTGCCCTGGGAACCCTTGGTTGCATCATGGCAAACCCAGGGAAAGACACTTCAGAAGTGCTCTAGACCCTCATTGATGCAAATAACACCATCCCCAACCAGATGTCGGGGCTCTCCTTCCTCACATTCCCTGGGTTTGAAATCAGAGAGATGCAGGGGAGGAGTGTGGAGGTGAGATGTTTGGGAAGAGAAGAAAAAGGAGGTGGGGAGGGAGGAGTTTGAACTTTCTTCGAAATTTTTCAGGGCAGATGCTCAGAAACCAACCAACTGGTGGTCAGGCCCAGAGATGCATCTCCTGTGACCTGTTCTTCAGTGGGAGGAATGGACAGACTCTTGGGATTGTCGATGATGACACTATGACTGCAAGTGATAAGTGATTTTGGGTTTCTGGTGAGGGTAACAGGGTCAGCAAAGTTCATAGTCCACATACATGTAAGATGAAGTCTTCTTATTAATCTGTAGATGCAGTTTGAAAACATAACCACTGAGTCCTGGTCTCTGGCCTGTGGTTTTTTTCATAGGGGTGAACAGCCTGCAAGAAGAGAATCCTTGGGCCTTGAGCATCCAGGAGGGTGAAAACGTCACTGTGAACTGCAGTTATAAAACATCCATAGCTGCCCTACAGTGGTACAGACAGGACTCTGGCAGAGGCCATGCCATGCTAATCTTAATACACTCAAATGAGAAAGACAAACAGAGTGGAAGACTAAGAGTGACCCTTAACAACTCCAGCCAGAGCAGTTCCCTATCCATCACTGCTGCACAGCCTGAAGATACTGAAGATACTGGAGCTACAGACGCACAGTGTGCAGCCAGCACCTGCAGCCCTGACACAAACCCTCAGAGCCTAGAACCCAATAGAGGGTGGAATGGTGCTTATGTCATTTCATGACAAGAGTCCACTGGAAATGGAAGAGATTTGTTTCAAATTTGGGATTTTTCAACTTTATTTTCCTAACCAGTCTTGTAAGGAAAAGATATAGGAATCTGAGCCCTGTTACCCTGACATCCCACGAAGGAGGCAGTACTGACCTATACTGTAGTTACACAGAAATATACTGGTTTAGCCAAGATCTTGAGAAAAAGCCAGGATGAATTACTTTTCAACTTATTTCATCTTATATCTTTTTCTGTGGATGAAAACAGAAAGTCTTAAATTAACAGTACCAAAGAAGGCAAGCTCTCCACACAGCATGACTTCAAAGTTTGAAGACCTCTGTGCACTCCCAGGCATCTATATCCAAGACCTATGCTTTAGAAGAAGCACAAATATCTTCTTGTCATTTTTTTCCACAAACCAGTAGTTACCCCATATTCAGAACCTACTTCCTAGCAGTGTCATAGACAATAAACCTGTGATTTATCCAGAGGACAGAGATGCCCATCAATCTCATTCTTTGCTCCAGACAGTTGCCTGTACATGGGCATAG